AAAAATTGAATAAAAAGCAAGATTGTGCTTCAGATTTGTAAATAAAAGTCCTAGGTTCCCCTACTTATTCTGAAAAGTTCATTATAACTCTTGGAATTTCAGTATAAAGGAAACAGTTAAATAATTTTACCTCAGTCCATTAGTGCTTGGTATTATTTAGACATTGCATTCATTTTGTCTTCAGACTAATTTTGTGCTGAATGTTTCATTTTATATTTGTTTGCCTCATTTCTGTCACTACAGTATAGATTTATGAGTGTCTGAGAGTCATTTTTGTGCATTTCTATGCTTTAACAAATGTAGGTTTAAGTGAGCCCTCTAATGTTAAATTCCCTGACTTTAAATATTTTGATTTTGGGAGAGTGAAAATATCTTTACTATAGAGTTGTACAGAAAAGTACATTTAGTCTAAACCACTTATAGCGAGACTTTCTGGGGAGAGAGGACCCCAGAGACTTTCTTTTAAAGCTATGAAAATCTCATCTATTAACAATGAATGAGAAGCTTTAAGAAAACATCATGCCTACATTTCATCAGCTTCTCAGTTCAGCACATCAGTAAACAGCACAGATCAGCCACACAATGCTGTGATTTATAACTGTGTCAATGATTTAGTGAGTCTGACCATAATTATGAAGTTACTGTCACATGAATGAGAAACAATCACCTAATTGGGGAAACTAGTGATGTACTAGACTTGCTGGTTTGAATACATTAAGTGGAGTGATTATCTGTTAGGAGAGAAGAACAGCAGGAGACTGGTCCCAGGGTCCTGCCACTTTTATCCATTAATGGCTCCTTCTGATATGTGACAGAATGAGAGGAAATGGCCCCAAGTTGCACCAGGGGAGGTTTAGATTAGATACAAGGAAAATTTGTTTTCTGAAAGAGCGGTCAGACATTGGAGCAGACTCCCCAGGGAAGTGCTGGAGTCAGCATCCCTGGAAGTGTTCAAAAGGAGGGTGGATGTGGCATCTGGGGACCTGGTTTAGTGGTAAACTCAGAGGTGTTGGGTTAATGGTTGGACTCAATGAGCTTGGAGGTTTCCCAGCCTTAGTGATTTCTTTGATTCTATGATCCCAGATCCCAACAGAGCACAGACACTGAGCTTCACAACCACTAACATCCAGGTTAGCACATTTCCAAACTTTAAAGGCCACAGTCACCAGGCCAAATCACCTGCTGTCAGGAATGCTTGACACGTGTCTCTTCTTTCTTGCACCGTTGCCTCTTTCCTGCCCCCAGCACTGGGTTAAGTATGGAGGAGGGTTGATGATTAATGTCATAATGGTTCCTTTTAATATACTTCATCTGTCAGCTTAATTCTCTGCAACTGGGATAATCACAATAATTAGATACAATTGTTCAGATCATTACCTAATTGTGGTTTTTTTCATTGTAGCCAATTCATATGACTTTTAAATGGGCAGAAAAGATGGAAAGTCTGAATTACGCCTATATTTTAGAAAATCCTAGTAGATATAAGAATGCCCCACAATTTTAGACTGCACATGAGGATCTTGTGGTTCTAGAATGTGCAACACAGGTAATCAGGGATGTTCCAAGTAAGGCATTTTTATTTCTGTTCCCAAAGAGTTAAAACTACACTTCACACAAGATCAGTGATATCAGACTTCCCTCCAGCCCCATTTGAACATGAAATGTTCAGTATGAAAATGTTTTTAATTGCTAAAATCTACAAAGCAGATGCTTGTGCAGAAAGTATGTGAGGAATTCCTGTGTCTCCCAGGGTCCTAATGGACAGCCAGCATTTTTGGTGATAATTTATAGTCAGCCATGATCTTTGAACAGCCACACATGAGATGAAGAGAATGACATATACAAAATTTAGGACCAAAAAAAGATCAGACAAGGTGGCAATTTATTACTAGATTAATTTTTTAATTAACATATTTCCTAAATGAATAAAAGGACGAACACATAAAATTTCATCAAATGTCTTCAAAAAGAGTATTCATCACCTCTGATTTGGCTTCTTTTAGGATCTAGTTTCATTTCATAAGATGAAAGTTAGGAGCACAGTTCAATAAACTGTCAGTGAAGAGAGAGGAGCCTTTGAAAACAACGAAGAGGACCAAATTAAGATGCTGAAGTATCTCAAAATAGATTAAATACCCTTCAGGGAGGTGGTGTTTTAAGTCTGAGATCACACACTACATCTTTATTACAAAGGGAATACTGAACCTTTGCTTGAAGTGCATGGTAGAACTCAAGTTTATATAAAAAGTTGCAACTGCCACTTCCAAAATCATCCATCTATACTTCTGATGCAATCAAATGCAGCCACATTTCTCTGGCTGGTGGTGTTATTTGGACTTTGGGAAAGAAAACACCAAGGGGATATCAGGGTGCGGAAAGAGCCATAGAAGTTGCCCATTAAGGAAGTATTTTATTGGGTTTTGGTGCCTCCTCATCACTTTTGCAAGCCTGGTGCAGCCAAAGCAGAAAGGTTGAATGACTCATTTCCTTCCTGCTCCTGCTGTCGGGCACTTCAACCAGCAGAGCCTTCACACAGACACGAACCCCCCTCGGGCTGCAGGAGACCTGATTTGTGCAACTGCGCACGGACGTGCCTGTGGGAACAATTCCCGGAAACTAAAATGCGGAGCTACACGATTTCTATTAATATTGCTGGTGGGATCCCAGCTCTGAGCTTGTGGGCTGCACAAGAACCAGAGAATACAGCTCTGAAACTGCTTTGCCTTTGGGTTTGTGGCATCTCAGGCTCCTCCCTAAGCTCCTCGGGGCTTCCCTCATCTGCCTAGTCCAAATGATGCCGTCAGCTACCCTTGTGCCCACCATGTGATCCTTGAATCCTGAAAACTTCACTCTCTTCACTCTTGGTGGAGCAGAAGGTGAGAAATCCCCCTGGACATCTATTTTTCTGCAGAAAGAGCTGACACGCTCCTGCTTTTACTGGTGGTGGATCTTCTTTAGATGAAAGGTAAAAACGGCTGCTCTGCCAAAACAGAAGGCAACCCAACAAACCAGCTTTGGCTACTTAAAGAACAGTTTCACTCAAAAGTGTTGCAACCATGTGGAATCTCAGCACACAAACACACCAGCAGGACGTGATGGGACATGCTCTCACTGGTTTATGCCTTGTATTCTTTAACTCCAATGAGGATGAAGACCTGATGCTTTTAATTCCAAGGTGCCAGCTGCAGCTCAGGGTAAAATGAGCTTTTGAAGGGTTTTTCACACCTTCTAATGCATGAGGGATAATTCTGTGCTGCAGGAGTGCATTTTTTTAAGGCCAAGTGCAATTAAAAGAAGAATTCACCCGTTCTGCTGAATATGAAAAAAATGGGGAAGCCCTCAAATGCAGGCACTTCTTGTGTGAGGTAACTGAATGTTTCCAGGTCAAAATTAATACTTTAATGGATTTCATGCTACAGTGTAGCACTTTAGGTCGTACTTTGATTGCTATTTTGTCACAGATAGATCTGTCTGGGTGCTCCAGAGGGGGGAAAAGCACTGCTCCTTGAATTTAACAATTGTAAAAACAGTACTTGGCTGCCTAAACCCAGAAGTCTCCATGTCATCTCAAGTGCTGCAGGGTGTGCCAGCTGGCCACCTGCTTCTGCTTCAGAAGGCTGTCAGTCCCTACAGATCGTACACCAACATCCTCCAGACCCTGGCAAACGTATTCTGTATCCTTGGGCATCTTACATGACACGGAGGCAACTGCAGGCAACTGTCCCAAGAGCAAAACCTTCCCTTGGGAGACCTTTCCTTGCTCAGATCCCCAAGGAAACTCCTGTGTTAGAAATGTTACAAGATCATCGAAGCAGCTCCTGGAGTAGCCTGCCTAGAGATATGTTACGATGCAAACACAAGTAATCAGCTCAACAGAAGGGTTATTATGTGTGGGTCACAGCAGGGCCCAATGGGGAGAAAACCAGTCATTCTGGGACCTCCACACCAGGGCCATTCCTTGTCTCAGTGCCTTTGGTAAAGGCCATTTAGATGGCAATAACTGAAGTTAAATGGAAACAACCTATCCCTTGTGTCATCACAAGGGTCCCACTGAATGTGTCCTGCCAGCATGGGCAGGAAAGGAGATCCTGATTTTGTAGGCATGTACACGCCTGGTGAATGGAGCTGTCTTTGATCCACTTTGATCCTCCTTGCTGTCTTTGATCCACTGCAGGGCTCACATGGAAAAGCACATGCAAGCCTGATGGTTTGGCTGAGCCAGCCTTATCTTTTCCTACCAGCAAAAATGAAATAATATGCTGGAAAAGGGAGGTGATAACACAGCTGTACCTTTTGCTGATGACAGCCTCTGCATGCCCTCAGGACATCACCACCTCTTGCACTCTCCCATCCCAGTAGGATGGATTTCCTCTCATACTGAGTTATCTTGACTCTTACAGACAGTATTTCCAGGGAGATTCATCCTAGTCTGCAGTGAGAATCAAAAATGAGACCAGGCCATCTTTAGGAAACCCAAATCATTTCCTTTTCATTCCTATCACCAGGGCCAGGTTGCACCAGCCACATGCCTTCTCCTTGTCCTCTCCTTGCACTCCAGCTCTTTGCAGCAGAGGACACTGTGTTGCCTGTCATTAATTTACTTATGCCCCATCCTACCCTTGCAAGGGCTTTTGGAGGTAACTCTAGCACTCCATATTCATGTTGTCCCAGGGTGAACAATCTCTTTGAGATGATCTTTTGGGATAGGCCAGGTTGGATGGGGCTCGGAGCAACCTGATCTAGTCAGTGGCATCCCTGCCTATGGCAGGGGGATTGGAACTAGAATATCTCTAAGTTCCCTTCCAACCCAAACCATTGTATGATGCCATGATTTTATGACTAAAGCAAGATGTTCTGGTTCAGCTCTGCAGTCCTAACTCAGCTGGCTTTCTGGGTCATTTGTCTGTGACCGAGTTCCTGAGGATAAAGGGATAAAAATCCATTTAAACCTGCTCCATTCATCACCCTGAAACGACATAGCCAGGAAAGATATTGTTTGGAGCTTGGCCTAAATTGGCAGTTTTCAGGGAGGTGAAAATAAATCAAGGTAAAATTTAATAAGCACTTTTCCTGAGGTTCGTATTGGGGGTGTTTGGATTCCTTTTTCTTCTGAATTAGGTGGCAATTCCTCATTGCTCTGCACCACATAGGAGGTGTATAGTGGGTCTTTCCTGTCTTCTTCTACTCCTAATATTCAGACTTTGCCCCATCTTTTAACAGTCGAGGGCCTTGGCTCAGTACATTCTCACATTACGGACCTGTGGAGCACAGACAGACATGGAATAATGATTTGCATTTTTCCCTTTAACTATTTCACCCAGCACACAAAACAGGAGAGCAGAGGAGCATCTGCAAACATGTTGTGTCTGGAAGTTTGATGACAGGAGGCTGAGAAAAAACTTACCAGATAAAGGTAAGAAAAAAGGAGTTTAATTTCTTTTGCACAAGATTACAAGACAAGGAGGGAAAATCTGGTAAAGGCACTGGAACAGCACAAAACAAGCCCATGCCATGGTTTTCTGGTAGACATGGCTTGGCTGAATGAGCCCAAACAGGTAAATCACAAGGGGTAAAAACTAAGTAGTAGGGTGATCTCAGACAGGAGCTGCCAAGGGTGGGGAGACAAGTAGAAGGAGCAAAGCAAAAGTTTCTCTTCTTCCAAGATGATTTTTTTTTTTTGCATTTATAGAAATCCTGGCTGCTGAGCTTCCAAAAGAACTGAAAACCAGAAGGAAAGAGAGAAACATATTTCCTTCTAAAAAGTGTCAATCAGTGGGTTATTCCCAGCAGCATAAATTAGCTGTAGTGGAGTTCTGCCATGCCATGCCAGATTGCTTTCAGGACAGAAGAAGCTCACACAAACCTAGTCCATGCATATATCTATCTATCTATATATAGATATATCTGCAAACCTGGAATCTGCAGTGTAGGTCTCAGATACAGACATCTCCTCAGTGATGCCCCTGAAGGGCAGGTGAACAGTATTCAGAATCAATTAAATAATTTTATTACTGCAAAGTCCTTAGGATCTGGAGAAATTAAGCCTGTGGTCCATCACCACGTATGTGATGTGCCAGGAAATGGATTTTCATCAAAACTAGCACTAAGTAGAGCCTTTATGACCACAGGGAAAAATATTCTGGAGTGTGAAAATGTTAACCTTATTTGTTAATCTGGGGAAAAAAGGCATATCCATAAGCAGAAACTATGGGTTGTGAATCTAACCAGAAGCTGCTTTCCTTGTTAGCCTTCACAGATTCCTTACAAACAATTGGTGGAACCCCAGCTAGTCACAGAGCACAGAAGGAAAACCACCAATTTTAACAGAACATGTTACTGGATGAACTGTTTTGGGGCTAGAGGCATAGCTTTTGACAAAAGAAGGTCAGACTGCGATCCAATAATCCTCTCTGACACAGGAATATGTCAGTGGAGTAGGAGCCCCTTGTTCTGCTCTGCCTGAGAGTGACAGTGTCATCTACACTTGCACCCTCCAGCTGGATCTCTGTGTGGAGGGGTAGCCTGGAGGATTTGTGGATCTCTGCATGAAGGGATATCATGGAGACTCTCTGGATCTCTGTGTGGAGAGGTAGTGTGGAGGATCTCTGAGTAGAGGGGTATCACTGAGGATTTCTGGATCTCTGCATGGAGGCACAGCCCATTTCCAGTTTAATTAGAGAGTGATGTATCTGCTGTTGCAAAGGAATGACTGGCCCCTTTGTGAATGCATTTTCCACATGCTTCTCTTGCTTGCTGGGTGTGTCTGGTTTGTGAATCCCACGTGGCCTGAGTGAAATTCCAGTGTGAGTATTTCAGCAGAAGTACAGCAATACCCACTGACATGGTGAGGGACAGACTTGTAGGTACAGGAAAGAAGTGTAGGAAACAAAGAAATGCTTGAAGTCAGGAAGTGTAAACTGGAAGCAAGTGAAATGGTTGACTCACATCAGGAGGGAGTCACAAAATAACCCCACACATGTTAAGAGAGAAAATAATGAGGAATATCCAGGTGGAAAACTGCCAGACACAGCTTATTTCAAACTGTCTTCAAGAGGATTGGAGATGATCACAGTACAGCCAGCAAGGTGAGAGCTGTAAGAGATGGATAGTTTTTTAACTAACCAGGACATTTGAAGAAAAAAACAACTTTGGCAAGTCAGGGAAGCAGTGCAGTGGGAGAAGCCAGCTTTCAGAAACTCAGCTGCTTGGCGTTTTTCACCTGAAACTGAAAGGTTGTTTCTCCATTTTCCAAATTTTACTTGGGTTTTAAAGTCATTCTGTGGATGCCGTTTTTAGCTCTTCTTCAAGGGACACCTGGTAACATGCAAAGGAGACTCGCATTCCAGTCATACCTGTTTGCCTGCATCTGCAATAATTACAGGATAATAAATAGTTTTGCCAGTGTAGTGAATGAAAACACTTTACCTAATGCACTGGCAAGAGAATATGTTCGATTGCATAGATGTAAATATTTATACCTGCTCAGTTACCTGATCGAAACAAAGATTCAATACAATGTTTGTTTTTAAAGGCTTTCCTGAAAACATGGAAGCCTTAACAGGACCACTGGAGGGCAGCAGTGTCAAAGCGAATCATCCATCAGTCTACTTTTGGGAATTGCTTCGTGAAAACCAAAAAAAACCTTAGAAAAAAATAGAAATAACTAGAAATAATTTTCTGCTGCCCAGATGCAAGTATGTAAAACACTGCAATTCTACAATAAAAGGCAGCGCTGCAGTATCAGTTCCCTTGCTTTCCTGCATCTCAACGATGCCACCTGAATTCTGCATGACGTGTCCTGTTGTCAGGAAATACTAAAAATATCAAAAAATATTCAGAGTCTTGATGCATTCTGAACCCTATGGATCTATGTTTTACACAAAATCAATATATAATCCAAGAATATTTTGTGTATCTTTTATATAAATAGCTAGATACAAAATTTGAATTATATTTACGTTTGAGATATGTATAGGTACATATATCCAAATTAATCCACGCTGTTGTATTAATACAGTGGGGGCAGCCCGCTCAGCAGACCTTTTACCTTTTATTTATATTTTTAAGTGTCCTAAATTCCATCATTTCAAAGAAACCTTTCAAATATCGAGTGAGTGGAATCCCTTTAGTGAGTGCTCTCTCTCTAAGGAAGTCCACTGACATTAGTGAAGATTTTGGGGTCACCATGAAGATAAATATATGAACTTTTCAGCAAGCTATTGTGATTTAGTGAAAAAATATTATTATTAGTCCAGTATTTATAAATGTAAGGAATACATGTTGACAATAATTTCAGATTATAGTTAGACAAACACAATTATCCATTGGTTATAAATATATATATAAAGCAATATACTGGCTGACTTACAGACCAAGGACACAACATCTGTCTGTATTTTTGACAAAAGAGGAGCAAGGTAAATAAAACTGGTATGGAGCTTGATATTTTTGTACAAAATATAAGTACAGTCCCACTCTGCAATGTAGTTATGTACACATCATCTCTTACTAAGTAATTGAGCTCCTTGTTTGTATTCAAATCATATCTGGCTAATTTATATACAAAAATGTTCTGTTAAGTATCAGTAATATATGTAGGATAAAGTTTCTGTTTGGATTGTTTTTTTTTTCCATTTCCTATACTCATGAGTCTCTCTTCAGCCTTTGGAACTTAAATATCTTATACTGGTGCTAAAGAAGATGATATATATGCAAATTGTTCTTCATATTTATATGGAAATGTGTGTATATATATATGAATTAAACAGCTTTACACAAGGAACAGTGGCGTTTAATTTTCAAGTCTATCTGAGTAAATGATAATGGTATAAAAATGGAAATGTAAGGAAAATTACACCAGTGTCATATGGGAAATAATTGTGTATTGCTCTGGCCCAGTGTTTAAGCCCTCCCTTCTGATCCTGCAGTTGGCTGCTGGGCAGATGGATCTCACCTGCACTTCCAGATTTCATGGACTGTAGTTTGAAAAAGAAAATCGAGCTTCTAAACTGAGATGATGTGCTTGGCAAGTTACTGAAAGACAGTAAAGATGAAAGTACAGAAAGTTTTTTCCACTGTCAGTTTTCATGTGCATCTATATATTATTTTAAACAAAAACATCTGCTTTACTGTCACCATTTTAAAGGCTGGAAAAGAATTCTTTTTTAAAATGCTGGAGTTTATTAATATTCCAGTTAACAAACATATGTTATAATTGACTGTAATGCCACATGATGAGGAAAGTTGTAATTCTGATATGGAAATGTGTTAAAATGTGGATGCTCCAGCCTAATTTTAAAGGCAAGGACACATCTATGAGCCTGCACAGAAAAAAAGCTGTTTAAGAGCACAAGTTTGATGAGGGGCAGCTGAGGGAGTTGTTTAGCCTGGAGAAAAGGAGGTGCAGGGCAGACCTTCTTGCTCTCTACAACTGCCTTAAAGGAGAGTGTAACCAGGTGGGGTTTGATCTCTTCTCCCAGAAAGAAGTGACGGGGACCAGAGGAAATGGCCTTGAGTTGTGCCAGGAGAGATTTAGGTTGAATATTAGGAAAAATTTCTTAGCTGAAAGGGTTGTCAAGCATAGGAATAGGCTAGCCAGGGAAGTGGTGGAGTCACCATCCCTGGAAGTGTCCAAAAGATGTGTAGATGTGACCCTTGGGGACGTGGTTTAGTGGTGAACATGGCAGTGCTGGGTTAATGGTTGGACTGAACGATCTTAGAGGTCTTTTCCAAGTGAATCAGCGATTCTATGATTCTGTAAAACCTTTTCTATCAGAAAACACAGGTACCTGGTCCTACCCATGTCAGAGGTCTGCGATTTCTCTGCCTTAGCCTTTGGAATGAGATATTGCAGATTTGCCAAGCTTTCCCTTTGTCAAGCTTCTCTTTTTTTTTTTTTTTTTTTTAAAAAAAAGGGAAACTAAAAACACACAGTGCCTCTGGGTCTAATCTGGAGTCTTATTCCAAACGCAGACTCTGGGGAGCTCCAAAGCTGGTGACACCCTGTAGTCTCAAGCCCTCGTGCCTACAAACACCAGTTGAATTTCAAACACCCCCACGGCTGCTGTGGGGTTTGCAGCCCCAGCCTTTGGCTTATCTGATGGTGCAACAACACCTGTTGGTTCATTATAATTAGTTTTGTAATTTTTTTCTTTTTCCATGGGGGCTGTTACATCGCCAACCTCCACTTCCAATCCCTGCAAACCCCGATGGAGCCCGATGATGGAGAAGCACCGGGGGCCACAGTCTGGTTCCTTCAATCTGAGCAAAAAGAGTGGAAGAGGCGAGGGAGGAAAAAGAAAGAAAGAAAGAAAACAAACAAAAAAAAAAAGGCAGCAGGACAAGGAGAAAATCTACACCAGGATAGTTTCTATGGCAAATATCACCTGTTTCAGCGGAGCCGGCGGCTGTTGTTAGCAACCAGCATACACAGCCAGGGCGCCGCAGGCAGAGCGGGGAGATGGATGGGTTTGGGGCCGATGATGAATATTCCCATCTCTCGGCCCGGCTCCAGCGGCAGGGATGAGCCCATGCTCCTCGTGCTGCGTGAGGGGAAACAGAAGAGGATTTGGCTTCTTCTCTCAGCTCCAACCCACCATCTGCACAGCGGCGGAGGGGCGAGCCAGCCCCCCCCCCAAATATACCCTCACGACGCCCCCAAAAGCACAAATCCCCTCCCCAGCTTTCAAGCCAACCTTTTATTTCCTTTCTTATCAAGGCTCCTCGTCCTTACAAGTTCACTAAAATGTACATGGCAGGGGGAGACGGGGTAGAGGAGCCTGGCGGTGCCGCCTTCAGTCCCCAGAGCGCCGACGAGGGTGTGAGGGGCGATGGCGCCCGGGGAGGGGAAGGGGGCGGCCGCCATTACCCCGCCCGGCCGTGCCCTGCCCGCCCGCACCGTCACTCGGCAACGGCGGCGGCGGGACCTGAGGAGAGGCCGGGTTGGCCATGGCTGAGGGGAGCTCCTGCCCCGGCTCAGAAGACATGGCTGAGGGGAGCCCCTGCCCCGGCTCAGAAGACATGGCTGAGGGGAGCCCCAGCCCCGACCCGCAGGACATGGCTGAGGGGAGCCCCAGCCCCGACCCGCAGGACATGGCTGAGGGGAGCCCCAGCCCCGGCTCAGAGGACATGGCTGAGGGGAGCCCCAGGCCCGGCTCAGAGGACATGGCTGAGGGGAGCCCCAGCCCCGGCTCGCAGGATTCCGGTGCTGGGTTGGCCATGGCTATGGGAAGCCCCAAGCCCAGCTCGCAGGTAACACAGCACGGGCACACACGCCCCCCCCCCCCCCCCCCCCCCTCTCCCCCCCCCCCCCACCCCCCCCGACAGATCCCACCCGTGCACACCCCCCCCAGACCCTGCAAACGCCTCACACACACACGTGCACACACACAGACCCCCCCCCCCCATGCACACACACACTGCAAACAGCCTCACACACATGTGCGCACACACACACACACCGACAGCATCACACCCGTGCACACAGACCCTGCAAACAGCCTCACACACACACGTGCACACACACAGACCCCCCCCCCATGCACACACACACTGCAAACAGCCTCACACACATGTGCGCACACACACACACACGGACCCCCCTGTGCACACACACACACTGCAGACAGCCTCACACACATGTACACACACACACACACACGGACCCCCCTGTGCACACACACACTGCAAACAGCCTCACACACACAGACACATCTGCACACACAAACCTGCATGCACAGACCCCACTGCAAACAGCCTCACACACACACAGACACACAAACCTTCACTGCACACACAGCCCCTGCAAACAGCCTCACTCCCCACCACACACACACACCTGTGCTCCCACAAACACACACAGGCCCCCCTGAGCGCACACGCACTGCTGCTCACACAGACCCCACTGCAGCCTCACATGCACAGAGACACACAGACCTCTCTGCTCTACACACAGACCCTGCAAACAGCCTCACACACACAGACACACCTGCACACACAAACACATGCAGACCCCCCTGTGCACACACACAGCCCCCCCTGCACACAGCCTCACAGACACACACACCTGCACACACATACCTGCACACACAGACGCCCCTGCAATCAGCCACACACACACAGACCTCCCTACAAACAGCCTCACACGCACACCACCTTGCACACACACAAACACACACGCCCATTCACCCAATCTCACACAGACCCCTCTGCAAACAGCCTCACACTCACAGACACACACACACAGACTGCCCCTGCAAACAGCCTCACACAAACACACACAAACACCCCCCCCATTCATCCAGTCTCACACAGACCCCTCTGCAAACAGCCTCACACAAACACACGCACTTGCACACACAGACCCCTCTGCAATCAGTCTCACACTCACAGACACACACACAGACTGCCCCTGCAAACAGCCTCACACACACACCCACCCCTGTACACACCCTGGGACACACAGGCACACACCCAGCACAAGGCCTGACACACAGACACACACGTATATCCCCGTACCATGCTCTGTCTCTCTCTCACACACACTCCACCCACACAGCCCCATCCCTGCACAAACCATGACACACGTGTGCTCTGTGCTCGCAGAGCCCCGTGTCCATCACCATCACCTCCAGGTACAGCCAGGACACACCATGTCTGTGCCTGCACTGCCTTGTGTGTGCAGCCCCCCTGCTCACCTCAGTGTTCACATGCACACACATTTCCACGTACCTTTCCCAGCCCTTTCCCCCCACTTTTCCTCCTCCATTTGCTAATTCCAGACATTAACACATGCCCAGGGATCTCTTCCCATCCTGTCTAAGGCTTTAAGCACTAAACATCCTCATTTTCTCTCCCCAGGACATCTCCCACGTGCTGGCTAGAGCCTTTGGGGACCTGTACACCAGAGATGTTTTTGGGGTGGACATGGACACAACTGGGATCGAGTTACAAGAAGGAGACGGTGTTGATCATGAGGGCTTCACAGATGAGCTGGAGCAGGTACAAGTCCAAACCAAGTCAGAGTTTGGAATTCTTTAATCACTACTTTGTAATTTCTATATCCTCTCTAAAATAAGATAAAAAGGCAGATGTTGATGTTAAAAATGACATTTTAATGGAAATTCACTTGAGAACAGTTTCCCACAGAACCTTTCCTATAAATTAATATTCACGTGATCCTTCATGATATTCTTGTCTCTGGACAGCTTTTCAGACACAGTACAAACAGTAAAACCAGTAGCCCTTTAAATGCCTATTGAACCGGTTGACAACTTCTCCCTGTACCCGCTGGTCAGTGTCCCAGACTTCCCATCTTGTCATCCCTCCAATAGCTGCTGTCAAAGTATGAAAGTAGAGGCTGTTGCTGGATGATTTGAGCAAGAGGTATTTTTTTCCATTTTCTGTCATCATACCCTCATGAAGGTTTTCAGAGATGAAAAATCTGAGGTTTTATATTTCTTCTGACTAATTTGATAGTATATCAGTGGACACGGTATGTTTTGAGTAATATGTATGAGTACTTCTGCAATGGACTGCTTGGATAGGATTAATTTCAACTTGACAGTATACCACTGTATTATGTGTGTTACTGCTGGACTAGTCACTCGATGCTCTCACCATCATCAGAAAATAAAATTTGAAAAAACCAAGCAGGCACTTTTAGGGCACAGTCCACCTGATCCATTTTAGGTATCAACTTTGGCATGGAGTGGAACTGTCTACTGAGGGATCCCAGAATGAGCAGGAAAGGAGGAAGCATCTTATTTGAGCTATGTCCCGTCTTTTCTATTAAAAAAACCCCTACCAAATAGGATTATGTAATGGAAATAATCACTTGAAATCATTTAATTCTGAAAGTGTTCAAGGTCTGGCTGGATGGGACTCGAAGCAGCCTGGTCTAGTGGAAGGTGTCCCTACCCATGGCAGGGGTTTGGAATGAGATGATCTTTAAAGTCCCATCCAACCCAAACCATTCTGTGAGTCTGTGAGTCTGTGATGTAATTCTGTTAAATGAGCCAAAAGGTTAAACCTTGTTACATTAAAGTTGTAAAGCCTTGTTACATCTCAGGCTGCAGGTGCTCTTGAGATGAATGTCTATCAGTTTGTCTTGCTGGTGGTCTTGTGAGTCTCTGCACCTTTGCTCAATTCTCTCTTTAACTTACATCAATACCTATTTGAGGCAGGATTTTTCTTTTTAAATTATGCTTGTTAAAGCACTTACCATGCTGGGCAGAGTGATCCAAAATACATCAGGAGGAGTGTAGTATCATTGTTGGGATATTCTTGAGTTTTAGAAACCTTCCTAGTAACTAGAAAAGAATCACAGAATCATAAAATCACAGACTGGTTTGGGACCTTAAAGATCATTTTGTTCCAACCCCTCTACCATGGGCAGGGACACCTCCAACTAGACCAGGTGGCTCCAAGCCCCGTCCAACCTGGCCTTTATGTTCACTAGGACTGCCCATTTTAATTTAATTCCTACACTTACAGGCAAAATACAGTGCAGCAGCTACTGTCCCATAGAAAGTAAAATATATTTCTCTTGTCCTGGGAGCATGTCCTCAACTTCCACACATTTTTCTTGGGCAATACTTCTGACCCAGATAGGAATGACAGTGTTTTAGCTGGCCAGTTTATGCTTGTAAAGTGATGTTTTACCAAACTATCTCTGTTTACCTTTCAAAAGACAGATAGAAAACATTTAACTGTAACAGCTCAACCTTCTCTGTGTTCACCCATGCCCGTGGCAGCTCCTTGCTGAGTATAAGAGCCGACTGACAGAAGCTGACAAAGCAGAAAAGAAGATCGTTCAGGCCCAGATCCAAGCAAAAGCTGAAGATGAAAGGATCCTAAACCAGATGAAGGCAGAGGCAGGGGAAGATTTCCACGAAATGGGACTTCCACCAGGTGAGGATTCTGGAATGTCTCTCCCCAGTACATGCTTAGGGTACCTGGAAACCAATTTGGGGTTGGCTTTACATTAACAGAGCAACTCTGAAGGATTTTGTGCAGAGATTCAAGTGGAGTAACATTTGTCTGACACTGAGAAACTAAACAACCAGGTCATTTTCCAGGTATTAAATTTGGGATGGATGGGTTACCACCTAAACAGTACAAGCATACACACCTTGGTGTATTGCAGCAGCAAACAGAGATTAAACGCTTCTCCAATGGGTGCTTAGCTGGGTTTGAACTGAAGTTAGAATCATGGAGATGCATTTCCAAGTCTTGGGATTAAAATACCAGACTATTTGTCTATCCAAAAATATTACCTGACAGGGATGAATTATAAAAACAACATTACTTTGGACAGATCAAGGTAGTGTATCTTAAGAGGCTAATATGCTTTTTTTGATTGACTTTTGATTGTTTGCTTTACTGTTGCAGTGGCATCCTCTTTTAGGCGGATTTTGGATAATGAACTTCTCAGAAAAAATAATTTAATCTGCCCTGATGATTACATCACTGAGAAATTGCCTCTTACTAAAGCACCAAAAGGTAACTTTTAAAGCAGGAAGAAATTTAGACTTTTTGGGACACTCTATAATTGAAGCATTGGAGGATGTAGCACACCTGAGTATATTTTTATTTTTTTTTTATTTTTTGTTTTTGTTTCTGCCAAAGCAGAAGGGACTCTAGTAATTTAAGCATAAAATTCCACTGAAGGCACATTCTCAAAATATAATTGATAAATTCAAAATTATTGAGTATAAATGTGCTTAAATATGATATTTAATGGTGTTTGCAGATTTGTTTACAGTTCTTTCCATCTGACACAAAAACTATATTAGTGAGTGTCCTGCCTCTGTCCAATTTCATTAGCACAAAGCTGCAACTACATCTACAACTACATACAGAGAAGGAAAGTGGTTACATTAAAGTAAAAACTATTTTCAGTGAAATAAAATTGTATTCTTTATTTTGGGTTTA